AGCATGGATATTGATCACCCAGTTCTTTTCAAAAATTCCTTCCCATAAATGGTTGCTGCTTGTTGTGCGTATTTGCAAATGCAATAAATAGCGGCGCGCACCAGAGCAGCCAGTGCGATCATGCGTTTGTGCAGTCACGATTGCCTGCTAGAGATTTTCACTGCTTTGCATTTTGGTCTGAGTAGAAATAGTTGAATGTTGTTTATTTTTTAAGTTGCAGAATTCCCCATTAAAAATTTCGCGCACACGAGATAATAATTTCTCTATCGAAATTTTCACGGGGCTGTATGTGGTACCCAGGGGTGCATGAAGGCTGAATCCAAACTTGCGAAGTCGTACGTTTGTAGAGGAGATCATCCTAAAATTTCAGATTCCCAACTTCTGCGGTCCCCAAGATAATAATTTTCCTTTTCCCCACCGAAACTTTCACGAGGCCGTAAGTGATACTCGAACGCGCGGGGAACTGGATTTATAATTGCAGGACTGTACGTGGACAGGAGAGATTACCATAAAATTTCAGCCTCCTGGCTTCCATGGTTCCCGAGATAATAATTTCCTCATAACTTTCATGGAGTCGTAGGTGATACCCGAGGGCGTAGGAACGCTGAATTTGAATTTGCGAGGTCATACGTGGGCAGAGGGTCATAACCCTAAAATTACAACTTCGTAGATTCCGTGGTTCCTGAGATAACAATTTGCCTACCAAAATTTTTACAGGGCCGTTCGTGTTACTCGCAGCAGAAGAAAGCTGAATTTAAATTTTCTGGGTAGCACGTGGGCAGAGAACATGCCCACAAAATTTCAGCCTTCTGGCTTCCGTGATTCCTGTGATAATAACTTTAGCCGCCCAAACTTCTACGGGACCGTACCTGTTACTCGCGGATACAGGGAGGCTGAATTCCCCTAAATTTTCAGCTTCTTAGCTTTTGTGGTTTCCGAGTTGAAAGTCGCAGACAAGTTGCTGCGGACACATACACACGGAAAACTCCGTGACAGTTTGCGTTTTGTACTGCTGTTACACAGCACAAAACCATAAAAACTCATACTGTGACGACCCCGGCTTGCGTGTATGTTTGTGAAAATAAAATTCTTCCATACTGACACACACTATATCAGAGCAGGTTGGTGTGCTGTCAGATTAGCATGGTGCTTAGGCAATAATCAGATCATAGAAAGTGAGTAGTTTCAAAGGAAGTCTGATGGCTTTTCGTCTCTCCGAAGATCATAGCATTGCGTTTCAGAGTTGGACGTACGGCACGTGGCATTTCGGGAACCGGTCATGCATTGTTGATTTTACGCCCCGAAGAGCTGGGATTCCTTCGCTACCTAAAACATGCCAAAGTTGTGTTGAACGAATATGAATTTTCGTGGAGTAAAGTGGCCAATATACAACCGCAGTTGGAGAAACTCATCGCCCAGAATTATTATTTAAACAAATCTGCTAAGGTCAAACTTCATAAACGGCCCTTTTTATTGTTAAAGTAAAAATTTTCATTAAGCCAAATTTGTGCTCTCTTTAACGAACAGTTCTGTAATAGTATTGACTGTTCGGCGAAGGTCTTCGTAATACTTTCTTTAGAATATTGCATGAGAAGATAGGTAAAATCGATATGATTTCCTGGCTTGCTAGACATTTCAGTATCATTT